CTAAAACGGAAGAGATTTGTGTTTATGTGTATGCGGAAATATTTAATTTCAAGATTGAGATACCGAAAACCTTGTAATAGTTAGGTTTTACGGCTCTGATACCATGTCAAGAACCCTAGAATGTGGTAAATAGTTTCTTTAAGTTTGGAGGCAATGTCTTTATATAGCGGTTACAACATTGACCTAGTGGTTCGATTCAATACAAACTATAAACCCGGTCTATTCTAGGCCCAATAAATTAGGAGCAACCAATATCACATATTCGACTTCGCAACATAGGGAATACGATCTTGTCTCCAAGTCATAGATCACAGGAATTGGATTATCACAATGCCCCACACCTTCTTTTTTTTTTGTTAAAGAAAAAGCAACACGTTCTTGTTCTTCAAAATTGCGAGAGGACAAGCTATTGGCCACATTTCATCGTATAACAAGCTATAAGGACAAGAAGATAGATCTAAGGAATACATCTTCTCCCATGTCATGTTTGAAGTATTCAATGTCCATATGTCTTGTGTTGGCAACTTCTTTTAGAATACACAAAGATGACTATTCAGATTGCACATGATGACCTGGCTTTCATCTTCTCGAGTAAATGGAGATTCTGAAATCATTTGAAATACCTCGGTGAAATACCTCGGTGTGGCAATCGAAAAATAATATTTTGATTGCATTATTGGTTTCGAAGACTAACCAATAAAGTGATCCATCAAAATATATAGGATATTGATCATCAAGAATCCGGTAGGGAGGAGATTCCACTTGCCTCCAAAGATTGGTGTTAAAATCAAAAACTTCACAAGTAGTTTCACTTTCTAGATCTGCTGATACATTATATAACCAAACCAACTTGTATGTTCCTCTGCATTTGTCTTTGCCAAACCCTAACAAGTTAAGTTCATTTTCATAATCATATACCTTTTGGAAACAAGTGTTTGAACACTTGCTTGAGGAACTGGGCGTATCCATTTAGTGCTTGGATTAACCACAAAGATAAATCCACGAACATCGTAGAAGCATATGAGAAG